ATATTAATATATTAATATTAATATTAATATAGGGAAACTTTACAATAATATCTAGGGGTTAGTTTAACAAATCCGTTACACGAATGTTTTTTACTATACGCTTATTTTTAAATAGCTGATTTTGGAAGTCAAGGTATTTCATACTAATTCTATGAGGACAAAGTGTTTTGAATTGAATTGAGCAACAATTAGTTATGTTATTTATTTTTTATAACAAAAATTATTAAATTATAAATTGAAATTAACTTCAAATCACTATTGAAAATAACTATAAAAATTTGTTACTTTGTTAAAGCTTCCACAGAAAAAGATGCAGATAGAAATAACTTGCTCATAGATAAATTTCTGTTATTTCATATTTGTATATTAAGTATTTGACTTGAAATGTTAAAGATTGTAAGTCTTTTGGTCGAAGAACCATTTAAATTAGTTGCATCTGCTATAAGCAGATATTGCCCATCTTAAAAAAATTTAATTTTAATTTTAATAAAACTTACATAGGGTAAAATTTAGTTTCTTTTGATATAAGGTGCAAATTTGAAATATATATTTTATTATTTACTTTTTCAGAAACAATACGAGCAATATTTGCTAAGTCAACATATCACTAGAGAAGAAAAAAAATTTATTAGTTGTCAGTTTAAGGAGTAATAACAAGGTTTTTTCTGGTCGTTTTTAATCGCATTCTTGTCATTCAATGATGTTCTGGTGCATTTGTGACATTTTATGATAAAATTCATTTGTCATAACATCCATCATTATTGCACTTATATAAACAACTAAATATCGACAAACAGTCCTGTGTAAATCTTTTCTCTTAAACCTTCAAGCCTCTTGGTCTTTTAACTCTTTACACATTATTTTAGAAATTATGGTATTATCACTAAAAAAAATTCCTTGATAATAGAACTAGACGAATAGACAGAATAAAATTTTTAGCTTCGTAATAAGCTGCCTCATCTACGCAATATTTTGTTATCTATTATTTTAAAAATTCAACT